CTAATTTAATTTGGTTCTAGTCTGAGAACATGCCTAGTAAGATTTCCATTCTGTGATTTTCCTTTTTATTGCAAGGGATTTTTTGTTTTGTTTTGTTTTGTTTGGCACGGATTCCCTGCTACCTAGAACAGAGCTTAACACATAGTAGGTCGTCAATGCAATCTGTAGAATGGATGAATGCACAACTGAATCCCCACTCCCCATTGGACATATCAGACGACCTTTGCTCAGAGATCTTGTTCTACTCCCCTGAGGTCACACAGCAAGAATGGGGCAGAGCTGGGGTCCGCCTGGGCCCATGACCTTATGTTATATCTAGTTGATGGGACTGGATTGCTCTGCTCGTTCCTGAGTACCTACTGTGTGGCAGGTCCTGAAGGATGGCCTTGGCTGTGGTCATTACCCCCTCACAGTGAGACCATCCAGCCATCACTGCACTTCCTTGCCCTGGGCCCACTCACCTCAAGGGGCGCCCTTGATGGACAGAGATGCTATCAGTCTACTTGGCTGGTATAACCCCACTTCCATCCTCTCCCTCCCCTCTGACCCCCCCCCCATACATCTGGAGCCTGATGGTCCTATGTATATTAGCAGACAGGCTCCTTCTTTCTCAGATGTCTCCATTTCTCCGTCTGTAGAATGGGAATGGCTGCATCTACGCCTCAGGCAGGCTGGGGAGGTTCTGCACGTGACATCATGTAGGGTTAACAGGGGAAAGCCCAGCCCCTGGGGTGAGCTTTCTGTGAAGAGGGAGGCTGGTCTGTCGCCACCTGCCACCCCCCAACCTCAACAAGGGCTATGTCACTCTCTTTCCTAATGTGCTGGTGAAGACTTTCCGCTTGTGGAGACTGTGGGTTGCTTATATTAATCTGTGAGGCAAGAAATTCTATTTTAAGTTGCTCTTGTTCTGAGCAACAGAACAACAGAACAGAATATTAGCTCAGCCTAATATTCTAACGTGTATACGGTCTTGATGGTATTTCCATGTTGCTCAGCCTATTATGAATTGTGATTGTGATTTACTTTTAGTGGAAAGCCCCTCGGAGGGGGAATTGAGGTCTTGCCCCTTGCAGTATGGAATAGTTTCCTGTGGTTACCGTCACAAATCACCATAAATTTAGTGGCTATACAACAGTAATGGACTCTTTGATAGTTCTTGAGGTCAGAAGTTCAAATTGTTTGATGGGGCTGAAACCAGGCATCAGAAAGGCCACATTGCCTCAGAGGATCTAGTGGGAGAACCTGTTTTCTTGCCTTTTCAAGCTTCTAGAGATGCATTCCTTGGCTTGTGGCCCCTTCCTCCATCTTCAAAGCCACCAGTGTGGTATAAAACTTCAGAGAAAGGAGAGAGAGGCTTGAGACACAGGCACACACAGGGAGAAGCAGGTTGACCACAGAGCCAGACACTGAAAGGATGTGGCTGCTTCCAGGGCTTCTGGTGTTTCCTGGCTGGGGGCCAGGAAATTTGTGTGGGGAATATTTCACAATGTACAAACTGATGATCTGATATACATGTACATTGTGAAACATTCCCCACAATGGGGCTATCAACATATCCATTGCCTGATAGTTCATTCATTCTTTCTTTTTTCCTTCCTTCCTTCCTTCCTTCCTTCCTTCCTTCCTTCCTTCCTTCCTTTCCTTCTTTTTCATAGAAGATTCAAGATCTACCCTTACAGTGAATTTCGAGTACACAGTACACATTCTTGTACACCAATACTCCAGAATTTATTCATCTTACAGAACTGAAACTTTATGCCCCTTAACCAACATCTACCCAATTTTCTCTTCCTCAGCCTCTGGCGACCACCTGTCTGCTTCTATGGGTCCCGCTATGTGGAAGAAGGCAGAAGCAGGCAGACCAGGTGGAGGCTATTATTGTAATCCCAGTGAACGCTGCTGAAGGTCAGATGGGAGCTGAGCCTGGCTCAGATGTTGGGTATATCATGAAGATAGAATTTCTAACAGATTTGCCAGACTTCCAATATCTAGGCTATCAAACAAATCACCCCAAACTTAGTGGCAAAAAAAAAAAAAATCATTTCAGTGTTAGGTCCCTTATTAAACGAAATGAGACTGAGACAAAGTGAAAGTTATTTAAAGCTTTATTTTATGATAAGTATTAGAAGTCAGACTGATTGATCAGGGGAATAAGACTGAAACAAGGTGAAAGTTATGCAAAGCTCTATTTTATGCTAAGCATTAGAAGTCAGACTGACCAGTCAAGGCCATCTCTGAAGAGAGAGATCACCCCCAGCTTATAGGCTCAAGAATTCACTGACTGACCGGTCAGGGCTGCCTCTGAAGAGGGCGACCACCCCCAGCTTACAGGCTCAAGAATTGACTGACTGACCGGTCAGGGCCGCCTCCAAAGAGGGCGACCCCTCCCCATCTTACAGACTATCTTTTATAGAGCAAAAGTCTGGCCACACATAGGTGGCCAATGAGATTGTAGTCATGTTAGGTCACATGCAGGTGGCCAATTGAATTACAATTTACCCTATAGTAGCTGTTTGACCTAACCTATTACTCTGGTCAGAATTGGTGCTCAACGTTGGCGCCCAAATGGTGGGGTTTACATTCTTTGGTGGTTAGGGAAAAAGTATGTGTGTTTCTTACTGATTGGATGTCTCCACCTGGCCTGACTCGTCCTTGTATTCTGGGCTCTGTTATTAGGAACTAGCTGACCATATTTTACTGGTTTTCCTGGGGGGAAAGTAAGTTTCTCTGGGAGGAGGCGGGCAGGGTCAGTTTAAGTTTTACTGCACAAACAACAAAATGGCTTTTAACCAAGATGGAGTTGCTCTGGCTAAATAGGTCCTTACATTCAGTATGCTCACAGTTTCTATAGGAGAGCTGGTTTCTGCTCCACAATGTTCTGGGTCCTCAGACGGGAAGAATCAGTGGGCTGGAGGTGACTCTACTGTCCTGAGGTCTGGAAACATCAGGAGGTGCCTTCACTATATGCCTGGCACCTAGGCTGGGATGACTTGAAGTCTGGCCTCATCCGGGACTGTTGAGTGGATTGCCTTGATGTGGCTTGGGCTTCCTCACAACATGGTGGCAAGGAGTGTGTGTTCTGACAGCTAGGTGGAGGCTGCATGCCAGCTATCACTTCCACTACATTCTGTTGGTTATAAGATAATCACTAACATCATCCCAGATTCAAGGGGGGGGGGTGGAGAACAGGACTCTACTTCTTTTAATTAAAAAAAATTTTTTTTAAAGTAGGTTGTACACCCAACATGGAGCCCAATGTGGGACCTGAACTCAGAACTGTGAGATCGCAGACCTGAGCTGAGATCAAGAGTTGGGTGCCCAAGTGACAGTAGTCCTTGGACTCTACTTCTTGACGGAGTGGCAAGGCCACATTGCATAAGAACATGTAGCACAAAGAGATACTGTTGCAGCCTTCTTCTTCTTTCTTTTAAAAAAGATTTTATTTATTTATTTGAGAGAGGACACAGCGAGAGAGGGAACACAAGCAGGTGGAGTAGGAGAGGGAGAAGCAGGCTTCCCGCTGAGCAAGGAGCCTGATGCGGGGCTTGATCCCAGGACCCTGATATCATGACCTGAGCCAAAGGTAGACGCTTAACGACTGAGCCATCCAGGTGCCCCTGCTGCCATCTTCTAAAAATTCAATTTGCCAGAGTCATGGAATGAGAGAAGAGAGGACTGATGCATGATCATAAGGCTGCTGGCCCCAAAGGCTGATGGTGGTCCTCTGGAGAAGCACAGGCAGGCTCCCTCTTGGGAATAGTTCTCCAAATGGCTCCAGCCTGGTTATTCTACCGCCTTCACTTGGCTCACAGGAAACTCCCACATCCGTCCTGAACCCAAAGAAGCAGCCACTCTTCTTGCAGACCTTCCCCCGCAAGTCCATGCTTTTGCTTCTTGCTGTTTTAGATATGAGTCAAAACCTCATCCCTTGCTTTACCCATGGGGTGAACAGACTTTTGTCTTTAATTTTCACTTTTTAAATAACTTCCAGTCAATGTCAAGCTCAGGGTGAAAAACTTGCCTTTGCAAGTTCTGTGTATATGACAGTGGTGACCAGCCCCCAGTGATCCTTACATCCTGTTGTTAACACCCTTGTGCTGTCTCCTGCCATGACTCTGAGCTGGTCCATGTGAAAAGAATAGTAGAGGATATAGTTTGTGACTTGGGTGGCTAAATCATAAAAGGGCTCAATGGTGTCCATCTTGGCCTCTGCCACACTGTGGGGGATGCTCAATCAGCCCTCTGGAGAGCACTTCATCTTGGAAGCAGATTCTTCAGCCAGAGCCCAGCCGTCAGAGACCCCAGCCCCAGGGAGCCTCTTGGCTGCATATGAGAGGTCCCGAGGCAGAACCACGCAGACAAGCTACTCTTGAACTCCAAGCCACAGAAACTGTGAGATAATACGTGCTTGCTGTCCTTACGCAGTCAGAGAGAGCTGAGCCAGCATCCTCTGACCTCACTGTGGAATGTGGGAGTACTTAGCCCCTATCACGTCAACATTTTGTTGCAAATGTCACTTCCAGGAGACCTCTTTGTATCTTCTTTATATCTCTACATTGGCCCCTATCTTATCCCATTACTCCATTTTATTTTTTAAACAATGCTTAGTGACTGCTGGAAATAAAATAAAAAACCAAACCGTATTTGTTTATTTCTACGTTTAGGCTAGTTCAGTGTCTGTCTTGTCTTGATGGAAAGTTCTATGAAGGAAGGAACTTATCCATCTTTTCCACCCATGGCCTGGTGCTCGAATGCAGGGGTTGCTGTCATTGTCACATCTGTGCATGAATCCAAACTGGGAAAAAGGTGTGTGAGTGTGTGTGTGTGTGTGTGTGTGTGTGTCTGGTTTGGGTGGTTCCCCTTAAGGTGGATTTGCATGTACTTGACTTTTGATGAAAAAGAGAACTGAGAGAAGCCCCAGGCACCTGAGCAGGAGGCATAGGAGGCAGAAGCTGTCCAGCCCTGTCTCTGCCTCTTAGGATCCTGTGTTAGCTGCAGCCATGTACATGTATACCAACTCTGGGGGTCAGTACCTGCCAGGTATGGCCCTGGCCAGGCTTGAGCTGGGGGTCAGGGATGGTTGGGACCCAGATTACAGTATTCCCCACCCTGTGGCTGGAAACGGGGGCCTGAGGGACAGAGGAGGGAATGGGCTGGACTCTCATCTGCTTTTCCTCTGGAAGGGACCAGAGAGGAGGAGGAGGATGATGGTGATGACTATGAGAATATGGCGCCACCTTACAAGGACCTTCCTCCCAAGCCAGGTAAGATGACTTCTCTGAGGCCAGGTGAAGGAATGTGTGTTTCATAGCCTGGGGAAATCAGGGTCCCCAGGGGATGTTAGCTGGACATTATGGACACACAGTGAGCCTCCTGAGTACCCAGCTTAAGCCAGGCACTATGTTGGTGGGAGTATCTGTGTCTCCAGCTGCCCTTGAGGATCTCTCTGTTTGAGGGGAGAGGCGGTTCTGGGCACAGCCTCAGGCGAGCAGGTTTGAGAAGGGAGGGACAAGGAGAATGGGAAAATCTCCAGGGGGGAATTGAGTGCTGGGAGGATTGGCCTCAGAGGAGGGGCTATTGGAGTGGGACTTGAGGTATGAGTTGGAGTTTGTTAGGAAGAGATGTCCAGTAGAGAACTGGTGGGTTGTAAACGTCCTGAGACATGAAACCTGGTGTTTCATAAAACTGTGAGTGGGCCAGTGGCTCCCCAGCATCCTCGCATTCACATTTTGGGCCCAGATTGACCTAGATCTTAGACTTGGGTGCTTCATGCCTGGCCCGGGACTCAACAAGAATCTGATTAAGTGGGTATAAAAATGAAGGCTTAAAAAAAAAAAAGTGAAGGCTTTGTGGTTTCCCTGAGCCAAATCCCACTAGGGCCTCTGAGGGTTGACTGTGCTGTGCTGGTGTCTTTGAAGAGGGGCCATTCCATGTGGGGTGGGGTGCTGCATCCTCCACTTCTTAATCCAGAGTCAGACCAACCTGGGAGGTCCCTAGGCACCATGGGGCTCAGATGGAGGGAGGAGCTGAACTCACTTGGCTGTTTGTCTGTCTCCCGGGTCCCACTTGGTACCAATATAGTTCTTAAACCCACCACCAAGATGACTTCACCATCTGACCATCAGTAGTACTCCTTCCCCAAAGTTAGCCTCCTCCCCATCTCTAATTGCAGCCCAATCTCTACCCCATCTTTATTTCCAAATCCAAAGTCATCACCCTACTCCAGCAGAACTAAAACCTAACTGTAACTTCTTCCCCCTACCTCAGTGCAACTCCAGTCCCAATCTTTATCTCCATCACATCCTGACTCGCAACCCTACTGCCATGTCCATCACTGTCCCCAACCCATCTTCAACCCCATTCTTATCCCAACCACAGCCTTGACTCCAACACTAGCCCAAACTCACCTGTCTTTAACTTAGGGTAAACAATTGTCCCAGTTTGCCCAGGACTGAGTGATTTCCTGGGATGTGGGACTTCCAGTTTTAAAACTGGGCAAGTCCTGGATGATCCAGGATGGTTGGTCACTCTGTCTTAACCCTGTCCCCATCCCTACCCTCAATTCCATTCTTATGCTCCACCCTATCCCTAGCTTTCCATTTCATCCCAGTCCTGGTTCCATCCCTGCCTCTGATCTGTTTCCGACCCTCATACCAGCTCTAATCCTGAACTTCTCTTCTGCAGATTCAATGGCTCCACCCAGGCCTCCCAGGGCAGGTGAGCTGGGGCTGGGGGTACAGGAGACCCAGTGCTGGCTTTGTCCTGCTCTGGGCCTGAGCAACCATTCTTCCCCCTGCCCCCAGGAAATAAAACGGACAACCCCCCACTTCCCTGCAAGTCCCCAAAGATCAAAGGTGAGAATCTAGGGCTGGGGTCTTTTGGCTTACCTGGATGAAGCCCTGGTCTGCATAACCATTGTCTTTCTGACCCCTTCTAGGCCTGGACCTCACCCCTGTCCCCCAAACATCTCCTCAACTGGGTGAGCTGTGGGAAGACCTTTTAAGAAGCTTGAGAGGAGACACCTGGAAGTCTTCCCTTCAGTTCCCCAATTCTGATTAGAGAACAAATCAGATGGGATGAGGGAGGTGTTGATCTTGGAAGACAGAGTCTTTCAGCAGCTTTTTTCCCCCAGCAACTTTGAATCAACCTTTTCCCCCCTTTCTCCCAGGTGTCAATCTGGAGCATCCTCCGTTCCAGCCATCCCTAGCTAGTAAGTCCTCATGCCCTCCCTGTGGATCCCTATCTTCCCTTTCATGGTTGCATGTATGCTTGAGTCAGACCTCTAGCCACAGAGGGAGACCCTGGGGGCAGAGAAATGTGTCCTTTCAGAAGCTCCTTCCCTCTGAGTCTAGACCAGACCCTGAGGGATGCAGGGTGCCTGGCTGATAATTTTTAGGTCCCACCTCCTACTTGCATAAGGTATGGGAAACATTCTCTGCCTCTGATGCAAAGGTCCTAGAATGGGGAGCAGCTTGGGCAGGGGCTGCCGAAGAGTATAAGAAATGCATCATAAATGTTTGAAGCAGTACTGGGTCCAAGTCATGCATGACCTCTCCAAGCCCTCAGGTTACTTATTTGCAAACTGGCAATAATAATTACATCTGTGTCATAAGGGAGAGGATCCAATAAGATAACAAGGATGTGACAGGTTGCTTGGCACACAATAAGTTCTCTTTAGTGTTCTAGGTTAGGTTGTAGTTGTGTGAGGTTATGGTGATGGTGCTGGATTTGGAAGTGGAGATAGGAATGGAGATGTGGCTTCATTTGGAGATGGGGAGGGGCTACATTTGGGGAAGGGGTGGCCCCAGAGCACAGTAAGTGCTCTTCTGGGCTTCTTCATGGTTCTTTTCCCCTGACCCTCTCTTGCTGACCCCATCTGGTGATACAGTCATGACCAGGGATCTCTGTCTCTCTGCTTTTGGAGAGAGGCTCAAGTGTCTCTTCCTCACTCTCTGAAGCACTAATACTGGTCTCTCTGTCCCCATCCTCGTCCCCCAGTAAAGCTCAGTCAGAAGTCCAGGTGTCCTGGATGCTATCAGGAGGAGAGACTGGTGGTGTACCTGTGCCTGCTGGTGGTGGTGTCCCTGGTCCTGGGCTGCACTGGTCTGGCTGTGACTCTGATTAAGTGTGAGTAGGAAGAGGATGGGGCATGGGGAGAAACTGAGCATTGGTCATGGGAGGACTTGAGCTCAAGATGTATTCTTACTCGTAGACCAGGAGTTGGTGGAAGAGCTGAAGATATTAACCTTTCAGCAGATGGCATGGCAAACAAATGGTAAGTGGTTCCAATTGTCCCTTCATCCCACGCATATTGAACACTCAATGTGAGCCCTCAAACCCAACTCCAAGACCACTTCCAATCCCATCTTTGCCAAGACTTGTGTTAGGTTTTGGGGCATAGGTAGGGTAGTGAACACCTCAGGCACAGTTCCCGTTCTTGTGGAGTGTGTGTGTGTGTGTGTGTGTGTGTGTGTGTGTGTGCATGTGAGTCTAGATCTCCACCATCCAATATAGTGGCCATTAGTCTTGAGTCACTGGCTATTGAGCTCTTGCAGTGCAGTCATTCTGAACTGAGATGTGCTGTAATTGTGAAATACACACCAATGTCAAAGACTTGCTACAAAAAAATGTAAGATATCTTAACAATATTAATAACAAGAATCTTTAATATTGATTACTCATTAAAATTATACTTTGGATATATTGGGATAAGTAAAGAAATAACATTCAAATTAATTTTGCCTGATTCTTTTGACTCTTTAAAAACATGGCCATTAGAACATTTAAAATTATGTGTGTAGTTTATATTTTATTTCTGTTGGACAGCAGAGTCAGGTATTGAGAACCATTTACCAAATTATCACTCAAATGAGTATAAAATTTCAAATCTCAATGAATTGTCCAAAGGAAAATCATTCTATTAAAAAAATATAATTAGGGATCTTGACCTTATCTTTGGGAGGTTCAATAAGGGCTTCTTTAGGGAAAGAGTGCTATGGTTGAGTGAGAGAAGAGAAAAAATTAATCAAGTGAGATGTTGAGGGTTTCAGGTATATGCAAAGGCCCAGTGGTAGGAGGCAACATCATAAGTACAAGGGAGGAGGATGGTGCAGTTGAACAGGTGAGAGGCGGTGGTGGCTTGAATGAGAGTTGTGGCCATGAGGATGGAGAGAAGTGGGTGGAGCAGAAAGTTTTAGGAGGTAAAAGCGACTAGACCTGGAGATGGATGGGAATGGCAGTGAGTAAGAGGGAAGGGTGTCAAGCTGGAAGAGGGCATGTTTGTGTGAGAGTAGGGAGAATACACACATTAGTTGTAGCAAAGTCTTCTGGGTTGACATGGCCTTCACCATGTTTGTTGAAGTCTGAAAATTGTTCCATTCTATGTGCATGCTTTCTCTGCACATCTCAGATCAAGCCACTGTTCTGCCCAAAACCTAGTGATGGCTTCTCACTGCCCAGAGTCCAACACGAAACTCTTGGCTTAGCATTCAAGGACCTGGACATCGGACCTCACCCTGTTTTGAGCTTTAGCTCCATGAGGTTCACCTTGATCTCTACCACAGCGGCCTTCCCCAACACACTTGCCTCTGTACCTTGGCTTCCAAGGTGGCCCCTGCCTGTGGAGCCTCCCTCTTCTATTCGCAGATACTGAGTCACCATCTTCCTTCAAAACCCATCTCCTCCAGGAAGTCCACCATCTCCACTCCTCCCCAACTCCCAGAGATCAATGCCTCCTAGGCATTGATCTAGGACCACTCTAGGACCCTGAGCCACTCTAGGACCCTCTCTAGGCACTGCACATGTCATTTTGAGTTCTAGCACCACTTACTAGAAAGAGGGTGCAGTGGGGAGCACCGATCTTGCTTCTGTCTTGTGTGTTTGCAGTCATTGGTGGGTGGGTGGGTAGATGGGGATTTGGGTTTCTAACCTTCCAGCCTATCTCTGCTAACAGTGACTGGCATGGCAGGGATAGCTGGCCTGAAGAAAGACATTGACCACATAAGAACTAACACCAACCAGTCCCTCCGAGAACTTCGGGGGTTATTAGGTGAGTGGGACTTGGGGAACTGCCCTGAGATGGGGGGCATGACAGAGCTGGCACATTGCACAAATCCATGGGGGTGATTCACACTACAGTCTATCTGAATGGTGCTACCTGGAGTTGAGCAGTACACAGCCTGCACAACTCTATATGGCACACCATGTACATGACCCTGGCTCTGGGGCCATTCTGACAGCATTCTGTTCTGTCTCCAGATTGTACCAGGGTCACCTGCCCGGAGGGTTGGGTCCCTTTTGAGGGAAAGTGTTACTACTTCTCCCCAACCACCAAGTCATGGGATGAAGCCCGGAAGTTCTGCCAGGAGAATTATTCTCACTTGGTCATCATCAGTAGCTTTGCTGAACAGGTGATCTATCCATTCCAAGCCCTTGAGAATCAGTGGGATTCACATATCCTTCCCTGGTCTGGATGGAGAGAAATTGGAATTGCTTTTGAGCCACTAAGACTTTTTTTAATAACAAGGTTGTGAGGACATGCCCTACTTGAGTTTAAATCCTGTTTGTGTTTCTTATGCTAAGTCTCAGTTTTTTCTCTAACCTGGAGATATAATAATGGCTATCTCTTAGTTACAACCCTGTAGGTTAGTGTGTGAGTCAGGAAAGGTTATGTTATGCTAAAGTAACAGACAGTCCCCATAGCTCAATGATGAAAATGGAAGAGGCAACTCTGAAAGCTTCCACTTACTTGTACTCACAAAGCAAATCATATGGGTCCTCCTATGCTTTTAGGTGGTAGGGAAATAGTTCCACCTGTGGAGGAGAATTGGCATTTTGTAAGCAATTGCAATGATTTGAGGCTACCATGGTTAGATAGCAAAATGCTTTGTACATAGTACATATTATTTGTACTTTACAGATGAGGAAACTGAGGCACAGTACATTTAAGAAACTTGCCTGTGGTCACTTACCACTAGCGAGTGTCAGAGCTGGGATTTGAGCCCAGATGTTTGCATGGTTTATCTTTCCCCATCATTTTATTTTATCTGTGTCATTATTTTCAAGTGGATTTCTTGTAGACAGAATATAGTTGGATCTTGTTTTTTAAATTCAGTCTGACAATTTCCAGCTCTTCATTGGTGTTTTTAGACTACTTATATTTGATGTAATTAAATTGATGGCTGAATGGAGTTTGTACTTGCAGAACTTTGTGGCTAAGGCTCATGGCTCTCCACGGGTATACTGGTTGGGGCTGAATGACAGGAACCGTGAAGGGGACTGGAAGTGGCTGGATGGGTCACCTGTCACTCTGAGGCAAGTATTGAGGGCTCTTGGGGTCTCTGCTCCCTGTGGGTCTTTGTGCAGTTAGAGCCAGAAGATTCTCTAGAATCCCAGGCGAGGGCGGATAGAGGAGGCCGAAGGGTGCTTTTTTTGCGAATAGGGCTTCTGGTCCTTGTACCTTTTAAATTTTCCTCCATTGCAACATCTCCTCCTTTTGGCACAACTGCTCAAATACATCAGGTCCCCAGGTCAGTGGGTAAGGGGGAAAAAACAAAGGAAGGGTGGTGACAGGGCAGGAGGTAGAGGAAGTGTCTGATATGCCAAGAGGATGAGCAGGATCTCTGTGTCTGTCTCTGACTCTCTGGACTTAACATACATTAACCCATTTGTTTAATCTTTTTAATAATCCTGTAAGGAAAGTACTGTTATCAAGTCCATTTTATTTTATCTTATTTCTTGTTATTTTCCATTTTCTTATCATTATCCATTTTCAGGATGAGGACACTGAGGCACAGAGAGGTTAACCAACCTACCTCAGGTCAGAAAGCTAGTAGGTGGCAGTGCCAACCAACGTAGCTTTAAAGTCTATATTCTTAGCCATTATACTTTTTCAAGGAGTGTATATATTTGTATTTTAAGTAAATGTTAATAAACTGACCCTCATAGTGGTTATACCAATTTATTCTTTAACTGGCTTCACTATGCTTTTCTTCTTCAAGAGTTCGTCAAGCTTTTATAATTTTTGATAGCTTAATTATAGGTGAAAATGGAATCACAATATAGTATTAATTTGCATTTCTCTTATAATGCCTGAGATGGGGTATCCTCTCATACGTTTAATAGCCACAGGTATTAACTTTTCTGTGACATGTTTATTCATATCATTGGCATATTTTTATATTGGGAATTTAAAAAAGATTTTATTTATTTATTTGTCAGAGAGAGAGAGAGAGAGAGAGACTGCACACAAGCAAGGGGAGCGGCAGGCAGAGGGAGAAGTGGACTCCCCACTGAGCAGGGAGCCTGACACAGGACTCAATCCCAGGACTCTGGGATCATGACTGGAGCCAAAGGCAGATGTTTAACTGACTGAGTCACCCAGGCTTCCTTATATTGGAATTTTTTTCCTTATTGATTTCTAAGGACTCTTTATATATTAGAGATATTAGTGTCCTGATGGGGATCTCATTTTTTATTAAAGATTCCTGGAAGAATGGGGCACCTAGGTGGCACAATTGGTTAAACATCTGACTCTTGGCTTCAGCTCAGGTCATGATCTCAGGGTTGTGAGACTGAACCCCCTGTCTGATTCCACACTCAGTTTGAAATCTGCTTGAGATCGTCTCTCCCTCTTCCTCTGCCTCTCCTGCTCATGTTCTCTCTCTCTCTCCTTCTGAAATAAATAAATAAGTCTTCAAACAAACAAACAAACAAACAAACAAAATTCCTGGAGGAAGGCACAGCTCTGTGAATAGAGAAGGCAAAGTGTGATGCTGTGGGTGCTCAGCTCAGACTCCTGGTATGGGCTAGTGCAGCCCTCCCCCAGCAAGGGGCACTGACTGCTAAAGGCTCAGGGTTATGCTCTCTAGAGAGTTGTCCTCAGGGGAATGGGAGCCTGCTCAGCTAGAAGGTTACTCCACTCCCAGTGGGGTCAGCCCATAGCCAATGAGTGGCTGAGAGAAGCCTGGATCCCTTGTCACATATTGGGATAACTCGGTGGTGCTATTCATATTCCCGAGCTCCCTGTCGGATCAGGCTGGGGCGAGATCAGACTGAACCCACATCCCAGCTCAACGCCTCCTCCTGCCTCGTCCTGCTTCTCCCAGTCCTCTCCTGAGAGCATTCCTTAATAAATCCCATGCACCTAAATCACCAAATCAGGCTCTGCTTTAAGGGAATGTGGTCCAAGACACTACAATACCTGGAAGATTGGGAGGATCGCAGGGGCGAAGGAAGGGTTCTTTGTAAGAGGCAGAAACTGATCAGATGCAGGAAAGGGATTCAGGAGCAGATTAACCCCTGCGAGCGGGAGGTGGGGCTGAGTTAAGGCGGACAAGCTGGGGTGAAGGGGATCATGTGGTAGCTCCAGGTAATTCTGAAAAGCTGAAGAGATGATTAGGATGGAAGAGCCCTGAACCATGAAGGCCTTTCCTCCTCTCCCCTGCCCCCACCATATTCTTTCTTTAATTAATAGACTTTGTTTTTTACAGAAGATTTGAGCAGAAGGTACAGAGAAATGTTTCCTATGTTCCTTCTCTCCTGCACACAGTCTCCTCTATTATTAACCCCTTGCATTTTGTGTGGCACATTTGTTACAAGTGATGAACCAATATGGATACATTATTATGAACTAAATCCATTGTTTACATTAGGGTTAACTCTAAGTGCTGTGCATTTTACTGTTTTTTTTTTTCCCTTCATTCTTCTGGTTTTGACAAATATGTGACATCATGTATCCACTGTCACAGTATCACATATAATGCTCTGAAAACCCCCCTGAGCTCCACCTATTCATCCCTCCCCATGCCCACTTTTCCTCCCTCCAGCTTTTGGGACCCAGAGGAACCCAACAACCTCTTTGATGAGGACTGTGCCAGCATGAACAAAGGTGGCACCTGGAATGACCTCTCTTGTGACAAGACTACATATTGGATCTGTGAGCGGAAATGTTCCTGTTGAACCTCACAGCTGAGGGTGGGTGTGACTCTTTATCCAGTGCTCCTTGGCTCTTGGGGGTGAGAACCTTCTGCCCTTCCACGGAGGACTGCCTTTCCATGAGCCAACATGGATATAGCTAAGATGGAAACAGGAGCTTGGATATTGCAAGGCCCCTTGGGTGCAAGTGAGAGCATGTCTACGGTGAGGATTTGAGGGCTTGTTCCTTTTTGTTTCTAATATTTATTTATTTGGGAGAGACAGTGAGCAAGAGAGAGTGCACACAAGCAGCAGCAGAGGCAGAGGGAGAAATAGACTCCCCTGCTGAGCAGGGAGCCCCACACGGGGCTTGATCCCAGGACCCCGGGATCACGACTTGAACTGAAGGCAGACACTTAACTGAGTGAACCACCCTGATGCCCAGTGGGCTTCTTCAGTAGGATGGTGTCTTAGTTTGTCAGGCTGCTGCACCAAAAAACTAAACTTGGGTGGCTTATAAACAACAGAGATTTATTTATTGAAATTCTGGAAGCTGGGATGTCCAAAATCAGGGTATAGTGTGTAACGAGGGTCCATTTTCTGACTCATAGATGGCCATCCTCTTGCCGTGTTCTCTCATGCTGGAAGAGGTGAGAGCTCTCTAGGGTCCCTGTTATAAGGGCACAAGAATTCTACCCCCATGCCCGAATCACCTCCCAAAGGCCCATCACACTGTGGGTTCAGATTTGGCAAATGAATTGGGTGAGGGCCCATAATGCAGTCTGTAGCAGGTAGTTTACTGGAGAGGGACGAGGTCTTAGAGATTATCTTCAAGTTCTGGGGTCTGAGGAAACTCACCAAGTCCCTGATCATGGCTCTTAGGAAGCAGTGCTGGCCTGGGGGCTCTGGGTCTGACAATGACTGAGTTGGAGCTGAAAACTCCCTGACTCCTCTGGACCATGGTGTGCCTGGACAGGGCTCCCAGTAGGAGAGCCTGTCTGATGTGGAGCAGCTTCTGGGAAGCAGGTGGGGAAAAATTATTCTTGACAGGCAACTTTCTCAAGGTCTCAGGTGCGGTTTGCCCAACCTACGTGGCAGAATCAGGCCTCTGCCAAGATGTGTCCTATGAAACTTCTAGAAAGGCAGACCAGCTGAAAGGCAGGACTGCACCCAGTGTGTGGTCAGATTCCCAGGACTGCAGCAGAGCTATCTACCTGCCTGTGCCTTTAGGCTGTTTGTCGTTTGTAAAGATCTTTGAGGAAGTAATTCACTTTACTTCTGAGCAGACCTTGCTGGGCTATCAGTTCTTGCAATGTTAGAACTCAAAATGTCAGCTCACAGTGTGGTCCTTGGCCACTGTGTTGGTTTTCTGGGACTTTCGTAATAAAGTACCACAGACTGGCTTAAATGAGAGAAATTTATTATCTCACTGTTCTGGAGGCTGATGTCTGAGATCAAGGTGTTGAAGAGCTTGGTTTCTGGTGAGGCATCTCTCCTTGACTTTTGGATGACCCTCTTCTCCCCATGTCTTCACATGGACTTCCCCTTGTCTGTATCTGTGTCCTAATGTCTTCCTTTTATGGAAGGTCATATCAGATTAGGGCCCATTGTAATGACTTCATTTTCATTAATTACCTCTTCAAAGACCCTACCTCAAAATACAGTCATATTCTTGACATACTGGGGTTAGGACTTCAACACATGAATTTTGGGGGAGATGCAGTTCAGCCTCTAATACCCACTAGTTGACTGGTGCTCCTCCAGTGATTATGATAATAAGAAGCACCCCCTAGGGGGCTGGTACTATCCTGCAGCTGAACAGAAGTCGACATGGAAATCCCTTTGGACAATCCCAGAATTGTATCCAAAGGTAGATTGACATTCTCCAAACTGATCAATTTATTGATCAACAACTATCCTTGATGACTAGAAGAATTCTTGCATTGACTGAGAGCAGGTGATCATGGCAAGGAGGTTCTGAGCAGAGGGGTGGTGGGGGGAGGTTAGCATTCACCTCATTTCCTGTTCCATCTCTACTTGTCTCCTCCCACCTCCACACCTGCCCCAACTCACCAGTACTGAAACTAGCCCCCTCAGGTAGACTACAGACTGCAGAGTGGGTGGGCATCCTGTTCTAAACCCTCTACCCAAGGGGGCCATTGGTCCAAGTGACTGTTTATCTGAGTCAGGGGAAGTTTCTGCATCTCAGAAGAGGAAATTTCATCTTCCCCCAGTGTGTTGAGAAATGGGGAAATGGGGCTGTGGTCACATCTTTGAGTCATGCTGGGGGCGTTCCACAGTGGAGCTGGCTCAAACCTATCTCCCTTCCACATCTCTCATGATTGTCTAATTTTGGGTAGAGAGATATGTGTGAAGGAGGTCCCCTTTACCACTTTGGGTCCAGGAGAGCAAAGGTTGGGCATTCTTGGTAGATAAAAATAACAAAACCCACAGTTTATCAAGCATGTATGGTGTGCTAGATAGACACAACAGCTCCCACTGAATCTTCACAATGACTCTGTGAGGTTGGAACAATTACCAACCCCACTTTAAAAAAAAATTACCAACCCCATTTTATAGCTGGGGAAACTGAGGCTTGCCCATTATCATTTAGTGAATACCTTGCAGAGCTGTTATATGGACTCAGTCTGTGCCTACAATACTTGATCTCTTTCTGCACCATCTGCCACCTTTCAAGGGACTGTCTGTAAACCTGAATTATTCCTGAGACTCCAATCTTGTAGCTCTTATCTTGGCTGGCACTTATGGGAAGGGAAAGTGTGGTGTGGTGGAACAGACATCCTGGGCTGAGGCAGGAGACTAGGAATGGAGTTCTGGGTCTACTGATAATAATCTGTGTGGCTCTCCTGGGACTATTATGATAATGCAGGTGAGAGAGGAAAGGGACCAGCTAGGAAGAAATTTAATCTATTTGAAGATAAAGCTAATGGTGTTTGTGGATGGATCAGATAACGGGGTGTGAAAGAGAGGAATAAAGAATTACCCCAGGGGCGCCTGGGTGGCTCAGTGGGTTAAAGCCTCTGCCTTTCAGCTCAGGTCATGATCCCAGGGTTCTGGGATGGAGCCCTGCATCAGGCTCTCTGCTTAGCAGGGAGCCTGCTTCCCTTCCCCTCTCTCTGCCTACCTGTGATCTCTGTCTGTCAAATAAATAAAAATGTTAAAAAAAAAAGAGAATTACCCCAAAGTTTTCAACTTAATCAACAGGAAAGATGGAGTTATTATTACCTAGAACTGAAGAAGAAAAAATGCTTATGAACACATTTATTTATTTAATAATTTTAAAAAGATTTTATTTATTTATATGTCAAAGAGAGCGAGAGAGAGAACAAGAGAGCGAACACAAGCAGGGAGAACAGCAGGCAGAGACAGAAGCAGGCTCCCCGCTGAGCAAGGAGCCTGCTGCAGGACTCAATCCCAGAACCCTGGGATGGTGAGCCAAAGGCAGATGCTTAATGACTGAACCACTCAGGTGTCCCTACTTATTTAAATTTTTTTAAAAAGATTTATTTATTTAGAGAGACAGAGAGAAAGTATACAAGCAAGCAGGGGGACGGGGCGGAGGGAGTGAGAGAGACCTCAAGCTGACTCCCTGTTGAACTTGGAGCCCAACACAGGGCTCAATCCCAGGACCTTGCGTTCCTGACCTGAGCTGAAACGAAGGTTCAGATACTTAACCTACTGAGTCATCCAGGCACCCCCATACATTTATTTATTTATTTTTAAAATTTTTAATTTTTTAAAAGATTTTATTTTTATTTATTTGACAGAGAGAGAGAGCAAAAGTAGGCAGAGAGGCAGGCAGAGAGAGAGGGGGAAGTAGGCTCCCCGCTGAGCAGAGAGCCCGATGTGGGTCTTGATCCCAGGACCCTGAGATCATGACCTGAGCCAAAGGCAGAGGCCTTAACCCACTGAGCTACCCAGGTGCCCCGATTTTTTTTATTTTTAAGTCATCTCTACACCCAGTGTGGGGCTCGAAGCCACAGCTCTGGGATCCGGAGTCACGTGCTCTGCCGACTAAGCCGGCCGGGTGCCCCTCAAGGCGTTTAGATTTAGGTGGTTTGTGAACTCTTGCTGAAGTTCAAGAATGGAATCTTGTGTACAGCAGATGTGGTGGTCATGGCATACTTAGATCCTTGATCCTCACATTTTCAGCAACTTCTAATGGCCAGCATTTGCCACCAGAGTCCTCCTGGTCTGGCACATGGCAAGTGAGAAGTACCAGCAGGGAAATGCTTTCTGGAAGAGCTCTCAACCACAGCCTGGACTCTGTGTACACATCCCCCAGCTCCCTCACCCCTCAGATGAGATGAGTTTGCAGTGTATCCCCGGTGCTTACCCAGAGGCCCCCCACCGGGATTGAACTTTCATTGCCTACTATGGTAGCCTGCTCAGTAACAAATCTTTGAACACATCTTGTACTGGTTGCCTTTCTTTCCCGACTCACTTCTTCACCCTCCTGCTGGTGTTTCCTGGGGTTATCTCCAAAATAAACTACTTACTCTTGAATCCTTGTCTCAGTGTTTGCTCTTGGGGGAACCCAAATTGAGACACTCTGGAACAGGAGAGGACAGGCTTGTGATGTGGTTCTGGTTTGCCTGGGATGGAGGGGTTCCTGGGACATGGGACTCTTAGTGTTAAAGATGGCAAGTGCTGGGCAGACTGGGATGAGTTGACCACCCTTGTAGGATAATGCAATCTCAGGAAAACCAAGAGAAGAGAAAGCTTCCAGAAGAAAAGGGGATCATGCATATGCAGATCAAATCATCATATTGTACAACTTTTATCTGTTAATCAAAATGGGGAGTGAGGAGATTGGGAAGCAAGGAGGTGCCAATAAATCTGGAAAAAAAAACCTAGAAAAAATAAAACCTGGAAAAAATACTTGATTATAAAATAAAGAGGACAAGTGGAGTCAACTGTGACCCAAATGTCAAGTTAGAAGAGATTGAGAAACCTCCACCCTTAACACTGAGGACGCATTTGGGACGGTGAGCCATTCTTGGGTGTGTTGGAGCCAGAAATGAGACCATAGTAGCTGAGCAGTGAAGGGGTGGGAGGAAGTGGGGACAGCAGAGCATAAAAAACTTTTCCAGAATTTTGACTGTGAAGAGAAAGGGAGAGGGAGAGAGAGAGAAAGAGAAAGGGAGAGGGAGAGAGAGAGAAAGAGAAAGGGAGAAAGAGAGGTAATTGCATCAGGGAGGATTTTTTGGGTAGAAGGAACTAGAATGCCTGCCTCCTTCTCTTCCCAACCCCCAATTATTCTCATG